GACGTAAGATATTTTGGTTTTACTCCCTTGTAGCTAATATTTACGTTTCAATACAAGTTAAGACTAACAGCTCCTACCAAGACTTTGTTCTTCTAAATTTGGAACGCGGCACAACCAAACACTTCCACATGTTGGGAACTGCAGGTGCTATTTACACGTTGAATCCCTCCATGAGTGCTCAGATGAACCTTTCCCCGTTGGATAAACCAGGAAGTTCTCAGTCTTCAAACATAAGCAATGCTGATCTTGAGAAAAGATTAAGGAAACAAGAGAGTGACAGGAAATCTCGGGCAAAAAAGGAGGTGATATAACATTAATTTTCTCTCAACCCATAATTTTGTATCGTTAGTGTCCATTATAATTAGTTTGTACCCTCTTGTTCTGTATACCGCACAGCAAATGAGAAGAGAAAACGAGGAAAGGTTGGTTAAGGTTACCGAAGAGAACAACGAATTAAGGAAAGACAATGCCAGCTTAAAAGAGGGAGAAGCTGAGATGAAAAGAAAACTGGCGACTTTCGTACAGAAAGTTAGCCACTTGGAGAAAGAAGTTAGCCGCTTGAATAACAAGCTTAAAGGCCAAAACACAAAGGTGGACGTGCTTTCAGAGAAACTAGTAAGTATGCTCTTTTCTCTTAATCTGCTACTCGTTGCAATCATCTAACTGAATCAAACTATTTTATTTGACGAATACTTTCAACAAAGGAGCAATACGGCAAAATACACAAATCTTGAAAGGAAATCACAAAACAGACAATTAGTCCAAGATTTGCAAGGCCATTTTTATCCATCACTCCGTCTCACTAAACCATCTCTTTGGCTTTAAACAGGCCCTGCATTGTCCTAAGACTTTTCACTGTTGGAACCCATCCATTACTGTGAAAGCAGTTAAGGGAAAAGAAAAGAAAAGGATGCAATTAAGATACTATTGGGAATTTTGTAACTAATTTAGCAGCTTGTTAAATTAATTCTCATAATAATATAAATCATATCATTAAACTGAACTTAAAATGATTATTTATCATGATACTAGATTTTTAATATCAAATAATTATAAATTCAAATCTTATTATTTTTATTCTCTTTTAATTAATAGTATTATTGTGTAAGTTTCAAAACATCCCAGTTTTTTTTTTTTGGTTAACATGGATTTTTTAACGATTCTCTTTATATGATGAATTTATTCTAACTGTGTTACAGGTTGCTAGCTCTGAAGCTACTGATCCTGTGGAAGAAAACAAACGGCTTAAGCGCAAAAATGAGCTGCTAATGACTCAATTGAATAATCCAGACATCATGCAAACAGTCGAGCTTGTCGAAGAGATTGAAAAGTGGAAACGTAAAGCCAAGAGACTCCAGATTATAAACGAAGCTTTGTGTGACAAGATGAATAATGACGAACATGAATGAAGGGGCGTGGAGCACCCCTTCATGACAAGGTACCCTTGTTAATGTTGTTTAAATTTAAGAGAATCTAACACTTCTTCTGAAAAAAAAAAACAACAACAACTTGCGAAGTGGAGGTAAGAGGGAGAGTTAGCCCATCTCATTTTCTAATTAACTTGGCTATCTCAAAGAATCACTCAATCGAAGGTTTAAATTATTGAGTGAGGCAACATCATATTCTCAGTTATTGCTAGCAGTTTTAGGTTCCTGAGGTATCACTGGTAGGAATATTATTAGAAATGTGGCCATCGATTACATTCATTTTTACGTTTTTACAAAAAGAGAAAAAAGAAAAATTGAACTTGAGATCTCTTAAGGAGAAAATAGATACTAATATTAGTTGGCAACTTTCTCCAATGTTTCCCTAAGAAAGATTTAAAAACAAAAAGGAAAGGAAACCTTTTGGCTTCAGATTAAGTAAAACGCATCAATAATGAAGGTTTTTCATTTGATATTTGCAGGGACTTCAACAAAGTATGTTCACTGTCGATCAGGGAGTGGTTGATTTGGCGTCCTGCAGGCTGCTCCTGTCCTTTTCTTTATCAATTTATATATCGAACATATATGTGTAATAAGTTATGGTTGACATGCACAGACAGATAGCCCCTCAACTTCGCAGTTTATGTTATGGACAAGTCAGGTGTTTGTGATGCTGTTTCATTTTGGTGTTCCGTAAGTGCTGTGTGTCTTTTGTTACAAGAACGATTTTGTTATCAATGGCATGTTAGAATTCTTTGCTGAATTCATATGGTATAAGTTTAATAGAGAAAAATATATTCATATTCGTAAAATATCGGGAAATTAGCTCAATTTGATTCTATATTTTAAGCCTAGTTTTCAGAATATCCCTGAGAATCTAATTGCTCTGAATTTGTTTCGAAATATACGGTCATTCTCTAACCTCTATTTATTTTTTACTAAGTTTTTTAGAACGCGGTCAAACATGTTTTTTAAGAATTTGAAATTTTATTTTATTTATTTTTATATTATTTTAATATTCTAATATTTAAAATAATTTTTAAAAAGTAAAAACATTATTTTAATATATTTTCAAATAAAAAACACTTTAAATCATAATTATTTATTTATTGACCTTTTTTTATGTATTTTTGTAGCCTCTCTAGAGTCTCTACCCCTTTTTTCATTATTATTTTTGCTCTCTTAGTTTCTTTTTTTTTAAAATATTTCTTGTAATAAATTTAAAAGGCATATAAGAAGTAAGATAGCAAAGTTTTAGTGTTGGATTATGAGTAATAAATAATTCATATCCATTTAGTTTCAAGCATCATAATTAATGACACGTAATATATCATATTATAAGGAACATGAATGAATCCCAATCTCAATAAACCAGAAGAAAACTATTTTTTAATTACCTGGAGCTTGATTTTTCCACTGATTCTTATGGACCTGAAAATAAATAGCTTCCAAATTGTAATTATTTAGCCTGTGCGAAAGCAAAATTAAGAAATATATAATTAGTGTTTATGTCGACAAATTGTTGAGTTCTTGGAAACAAAAGTGCTTAACAGTTCACCATGGTGGACACGTCATATAAAACTAATTTCATGGTAAAGTCTCCGTCAATGATTTAAAACAAAAAAATTAAAAATATGTATCTTCATTAATGATTGCTCGCTTATCAAAAACATTAATAGATATAGTAAAATATTATGGATCATAATTCATTGTAACGTGGATTACTACATTTTAATGATGTTTTTACCATTCTCAGTACAGGTTAAAAAAATATAAATTGAAAAATAAAAAATCAATTATTTGTAATATTGTGCTGGAAGAGAAAGAAGGAGAAGCAGAAAAAGGCATGATTGATGCTTGAAAACAAATCATTATGTATATATATATGTACAATTGAGGATTCCATGATTAAAATTTAAGTTGCAATCAAGTAGCAATTTCAGATAACTCAACATAAAATTTTTAGAGATGACGGTTTACGTCGCTTGTGATAGTTGTGGAGGAGTGCTTAGTGATACTCGGAACAACAACAACCTAATCGTTGCCCTTTTTTTTTTTTTTTAATTCTCTTAAGATGATATTGGCGATTTATGGCAAATGTAAGAATTTCTACTGTATAATGACTATTACTTTATTTTTATGTTTTAAAAGTATTTTTAAAAAGTTTTAATTTTTTTATTTTAAATTAATACTATTTTGGTTTTTTAGATTATTTTAATAAGTTGATATTAACATTAATTTTTTTAAAATAAAAATATTATTTTAATATATTTATAAATAAATTTTTTTTAAAAAAACAATCATTGTCACATTCTCAAATACTCATTGTGTTATCATGATGTAATGCTTAATTGCTTATGCGCTCGTATATGCAGTAAGTTTCGAATCTATTTATTTTTATATTTTAAAATTATTTTTTAAAAAAATTAAAAAATTTAATTTCAAATTAATTTTTTATGTGTTTTCATATTGTTTTAATATAATGATATCAAAAATAATTTTTTAAAAAATTTTAAAATTTTTATTTCAATGTATTTATGAATTAAAAACACTTTAAAAAATAATTATTACCATATTTCTAAATATTTTAAAGTCAATAAAAAATTATAATTCAGAACGCGCAAGTTTGACGTGGTCACCAAACCCTAAAAAAATAATTTTTTTAATTATAATATTCAATAAAGGTGATTATATATATTTTTTATCTTTATTATGACCCATGACTCATAAATATTAGAATGAATAATCTTCAATGACTTTCTAGCTATTTATCAAATATATATTCTTCGAATATTTGAAAATGATTGGTCACTATAATTTTTTATGTAAAATTTTTAATTTGTCAGAACTACAATGATTATAACAAAAATATCATACTTTCTCTTTTGATCATGTACTAGAAAAACATGAATGATAAATATTGTGAAAATATAGTAAAAATAATAGGATTTGTCATCATGTTAACTTTAATAATTAAACTTAAGTTGTCTTCTTTAATTCTACATTTTTTATTTTTTATATAAACTCTCTAAATTTGTTTTTAATTCTAAAAAAAGAAAATATCAATATATGCTAAGTGAACTTTTTTTTGAAAAAAATCAAATTTTTAAATAAAAAACAATTATTTTTTTAAATAAAAAATATTTTTTAAAAATACCTTGTAGCTCGGAACCAAAATCACTCTTACCAAGCAATGCAATTTTCTAATCCAAGTCCTGGCCGATGCATACCCACACAAAACTATTTGTCTTATTATATCACGTCTTTGTCAATGATTCTTTAATCATAATTTTTTCGGATTGGACAGTAAATTATTATATATATTATAGTGGTGTTTGAATATAAATTTATTAAAATAATATTTTTTATTTTTAAAATTTATTTTTAACATGATAATTTAAAATATTAATTTTATTTTTTTTTAGAAACTAAAAAATCTTCAATTTCTTATAGCTGCCCCGTCCTCTTGGATTCCCTAACCTCTCCCGGGAGTTTTAAAATATGGAAGCTCGCCTCTCCCGGGAGTTTAAAAATATGGAAGCTCGAAGCGAAATTCCTAATAAGTGAGCTGTTCTCATGGATATCATGTCATATCAGTACTACGCCCTGCTACATTTCTAACGTGCTTTACTTCCACTTCAAACAACACCACAGACTAACTGTACTATGTCTTGATTAAAGTTGAGTCCGCAAACCGGATGGTAGTTCATCCAGGAAGCCTCTGAACATATCTGTAAGCAGCACATTTCCTGCCCATAGTTAAATTACAGATCTCATTTTTTTTATCTTTTAACTTTATCTATTAATTACTCTAGCTTCGACAAAGCGCAGGAAGGCAAAGAAAGGAAAGGTGTGCACATCAAAAACCCAAGAGGAAGCATGATGTGGTACTGCATGATCCACATAGCTAGAAGTTTCGTGAACTCAAGAACTCAGAGATGGAATTGCTGAGGGGGGAGAGAAACGTCAGCTGGGATGAGAAGCAAAATCAAGTGGGTAAGCTAAAATTTGTCCTCCCTTTAGTTTGGAGGCTTTTTTTAAAAGTAAATTGTTTGCTGGTATCATTTTAGTCTCGATATCTATTTGTTTTTTAACCATTTATCAACTTCTACTTCATCTTTTTTATACGGATGAAGAAGTTATTTTTTTTCTCAGGTTGATTACAATTTCTCTCCTTAAACTTTGGGATAGTAGTTTCTAATTTTAATTAACCATTGAGGTTATAAGTCATTAATTTTTCAGATTTTTTTTTCCTTGAAATTTGACGTTTTTCAAACGCTAATGATGGAAACAAGTTTCTTAAGCTTAGTCACATTTAATACTTAGGTGGACGATTCTGTCGGGCTTAGCCTCCCTTGAACCCACATCAATCCCAGTCACCTGCTTTTTAATTGCGGGGGTGGATCTTCCAATTCTTTGAGTCCCCCCTTCAAATCATAGGAATGTCCCTTTAATGTCTAGAATATCCCCAGTGAGCTGGCCTCACTTATGTCCTCCATGTTATCACAGCCACGCCATGGGTTCGGAGGCCGGTAGTAAAAGTAACATTCCCATTATCTTAAAGCATGTTGGATTGAAACAAAGATGGTAATGGCATTATTGAAGATTACAGAACCAACATAGGACCAACGACGAGTACCATGCCCTCATTATTGAGGTTAAAAACACCTATTTTTTGCCCTCCTTCTCTGATTATTTTTACATGTTCTTAGTCAGCAATGACGGCTCCTCCTTCTTTAATGAATGTTGAGCATCAGTAAACTAAGAAACACCCATTAGTAAATAGTAAGAGAAAATTTACTACCTTCACGACGTGTATTAGACGCTAATGGTGCGGTGTCGAGCGGTTCCCCGAGTTTTCTTTCGTCGTCTTCTGGTTTCTTGCGATAAGTCCGGCCTATAAATTTTTTATTTTATACCTGTTCTTTACTTGGCCTATGCTGGCTATTTTTTCTGTACTCTCAGGTTAGAACACCGGCCAGTTATTTCGTCCTCAGAAAACCGCCGGTTTCCGGGACCGACCGACCCATCAGCTGCTCAGGTAGTGTATATGAAAACAAACACAATAATTCTGGTGCTCTCACCTGCTTGATCATCAAGCTCCGTTCCTACTTTTACCGTTTTATAAGTTGATCTTTACCTTTGTTATCGATCTTCTTCAGATCACATCAACACGCATCTGATGCCTTACTCAAATTTCTCTGATGCTAAGGGTAAGCTTTTTTCTTTTCTTTTCTTATTCTTCTCATACGAGAAATAAAATAAAGGGAGGGAAAAGATTGGTGCTTTCATTGATTAAGCACTTTATTAATTTTAAGTTCTTACCAGGAATAATTTATGCGACTGGTCTGATCATTAGATCAACCTCTACGGCCAGCACTTTTGTTTTTGTTTTTGTTTTTGTTTTTGTGCATGTATTTTTCAGGATAAATCTCTCTCTCTCACTGATCTCAAGGCTAGCTGCCAGATATTAGTTATGATTTTCTAGCACTCAATATTGTCAATTATTACCTTTTTTAGGGTTTCCACTTAGGGTTTACATTTTTCTTCAGCAAACTTGCAAGAACAACTAACTACACAAATCCACCTTGGATCTATACACAAATCCACTATCTGGGTAGAAAAGAGTCCAATCACTTTTGTTCGACTTTTTGGGTCACAAGGCCGAGTGATTGTACTAGACTCGATCTTTTAATTTTATTTATTCTTCTTGACTCTGAACACAGCTCACCTTGGAATCTGCATGCAGGTGCTGTCATTAACGAGAACACATCCTTGAATGCTGCTCTGATAAAAAACGTGAGGAAAAGAATGGCTGGCATGAACAAGCATATTGCAAAATACAAGGTGATGATTTAAATATTTTGTGCCTCCCTGTATTGATACGTAATTGATCATTTTCCGCAATCATTGTGCAGAATGCAAACACCTCCTTCGTGAAGGAAAATGTCTACCTGAAGAACCGACAAGCTTGGATGACAAAATCTCAGAAGCGTCAGAAGAAAACCTTGGTCTACTTGAAGTACAAGCACAATGAACTGACTGAGAAGGTCACCGACCTTTCCAATCTACTTGTAAGTATTTTCTTCTCTTCATCAAATCACCAGAATGCAACCCTTAACTAACATCAATTTATCAATTTGTCTAGTCTAAATTTCTACCATATCACAACAAACAGCTGGGGTATCTATGATTGATCAAATCTACCATGCGATCGAGGAGAATTTTTCCCTTCCTATATATGTACCATACGCCAATTATATTAAAGTACATAGCATCCTTATTGCAAGCAATTGTATTCTATCAACGGATTTAGATCTTCTCACTCTCTTTTCTATATATTGTGTTTTCTTTTTTCCCTTTTATGTTTGGTCATGTTATTTGCTCCAGAACAACAGCTTGGGTTTATTGTCTCAGTCCACTTGCAAAAGCCGAAGACAGTTTCCCATTTGAAGGCTTGTTGAACTCATATTTACACTATTTAAACATTTTTTTTGCAGATGGAACTTGAAGCAAGCAATGCACTGCTGCGGGAAAGAAATGCTGTGCTAGAGAATGAAAGCAATGCACGTGATGAGGTGAACAAGGAAAATGACCATGAACTGGATGAGGCCAAAATTTAAGGTACATATATAAACCTATTTAATGTTTTCTTGAATAATAAGATATGGAATAACTTTTAACAACATTTTTATCACTCTTTCTTAATTTAATTAAATGTTGTTGGGAGTATTAATTAATTATAATGTGGAGTTAGGGGTAGTAAAATTATTATTTGCTTTTTTTCTTATACATGCATGTAATATAGGTTAGTGGCAGAAGAATGAAATGATATTTTGGTGACTTCATCTACAACCTCTTACTCTTCTTTCTTCTTCCTCTCATTTTTTCACCTTCCTCCATTCATCTTGATGTATATCGATCTAGCTTTAGCTTTCTAAAACTAGATCCACCTCTCAAATTAACGTTAGATATAAAAAAAGGAGACTAAAATATGTTTAGATACTTAACATTGTATTGAAATTTAAATTATATAATTTCAAGTTAATTTATTTTTGGATTTGAATTGAAAATATAAATGTTGAATTAACATATATATATATGAACAATACAGCTTCAAAATAATATGTTAAACTGCTTTAAAACTGGAATGTATTGTTCCAATTAAAAAAATAGAATACCAACTAGAATGGAATTGACAACCTTGCTTCGAACATTTAGTTGTGAGGCTAAGAATGATAAATTTGACGAAAATAAATCAATTGGTTTGCTTGATTTATTTTTCTGAATCTCCCTGTACTTTTTATCTTTTTGATTGTGAGGGCTAATAGATTTAGTTTAGATTTGGTCTTACTGAAGTCTGTATTATCAT